TTAGAGTGATTGTATTGCAAGTGTGGTCACGACGCGTCTGTGCGCGTTCACTCCAGAAGCTTGGCGGTTTTTGGCAACGCCACGGGGCTGCATTCACTTAAAATCGAGGACATGGAGGGCATGGGGATCGTGGTTTTCCAGCGCTAAACCCATTTATTCAAAATAAGCGCACAATTACACACTGAGATGCACTTACATATTCACGCATGAAGCACAATGGGCACATTACCCTTCGTTGGTAATAAGCGACTTTAGATAAATGATTTCAGGATGTACATTGATGACGCGTTCGTTGCATGTTTGGCTTTGACTTAAACACAGACGCACAGTGAACAAATGTTGTGAACTAATAAGGAGATCAATGGGGAATTATACTTTGGTTTGGTATTCCTGGAAGTGACTTGATTTGCATTGTACTGTAGCTATACTATTTGGTTCTTTCGGTAACGTCATATAGGTAGACAAAATAATAGATAATTATAGATCAATAATGTGATCTATTATTTTTCTACCTGTGTGACTTTAAGGAAAGAACCAAAGAGTATGGATTCCTGCAGTCACGAAAGCTTCAAATCAAGATTGTACTGTAACTGTTTGAACATGGGACATCCTAAACTTTCGATACGAGTTGTAGTTCTGTAAAAATTCTTGCAGATGAATAAGACCTTATTTTCAGCAACTGCTTGTCCGTTTTTATTTTTGAATGTTAATAGCAAAAACGTGTGGAGCCGAGTTTCAGGTGGAGCATCTCCGTTCACAAGTCTGACCTTAACAGGCATCATGTTGGCTGTCTCGCCATTAACACGTGTGGTTCAGGAGGGGAAGGTCCCTTTTATAAATCGATTCACAACGTTACGGTCCCTAATCATCAAGTATACATGGAATCCTGTACGCTATGACACGTGAAATGTAACACTATAAACGATAACACGAAACATTAAAATACTATAAATTAGTTAAATTATGTATAACACCAAAAACAGAGGTACGGTATTATAATCTCATTACAAGTATTAGAATTACAACGTGATCGTATTAGAATCACACTCTGCGCATATGCATGTATAGTGGACGTGCAAGCGAACTGTGCTCGTATGTATGTATGCATGTAATATGCATCTATGGCCTTTGAACATGCGAACCAGTGGTCAGATATGCGAACGGGGGGTGCAGGATTATGATCGGATTAAAATGATTAGAATATCACTTTGGTAGTATTAGAATAACAATGAGCTAGAATGTATGTTAAATGTAGATGCACATCGGGAGTCGTAAATGCGGCCTGGGTGGTGCCAGATTTAGAATCGCATCAAAATTATTAAAATCGCACTATGGTGGTATTAGAATCAAGCTGCCCACTGCTGGGAGAATGTTACATCGCAATGGCACCGAATAGCAATATACAGCATTGATATTGGGCGTGGAGCCTACAAGCGCAACCTTGCGCATTTTGACCTGGTTCTCGACGCCGGTCACGCGCCCATGGTAGAATCTTGTGAATTTCGGGGCGTCAAGGGTTCACACCACAGCCTTGAAGGATTAGGCAGGTCCCTGGCTTCTTTTGGAGAATTTGACCAGGCTCCAGGCACCGGTTCCTCGCACGTGGCGGATCCTTGAGGCACCCCAGGCCTCAGGCGCTCGGAAACTGAGGGCGCCACAACACATTTCATTTGAAGTACGGTTTCTTTGCAGAGTGCCCCACCACGTCGGACACACCAGACTTGGGCTGTACAGGACATGGGGATGAGCTGTCTGGGTGGGGACGGACATAACTACATGCGCACACACTGCGGCCATTTCACCTCTATGACTTCTATCTGTCGCCGCCGTGGGCGGAGCAACTTGGTGGACGTACCCGGTGTCACCTTTGGGCAACACAACCTGTCTACGACCGCCCATGGAAGCACGTGTTTCCGCCGCCCCGTGTTCTTTTAATTAGCCACTTGCGCTCTGGCAGGGAAAGTTCCTCGTTGTAAATCGTTTCACAACGTTCTGGTCCCGAAACCCGAAGTATACGGGGGATCACCTGTACTCTATAACATGTGTAGGGCTGTTACAGAGGGGCTGTTTGTGTAGGGCTGTTTGCATAGGAGCTAACGGATAACAAACACAGTGGGCGGGGACTCCGTGAGCACACGGGGTGGTGCCCGCAACGACGTCCGCACTGGACGGCGTGAGGGGGGTTTCGATCCTCTAGGGGGGTATAAAAAGGGATGAGCCAGAGAGCTCGGGGTTGAGTCTTAGAGTAGTTAAGGGAAGACGGAAGACCGGCCAGATAGGCCCTGGACTCCCCCTGGGACGCCGCCCTTGTAAGGGCAGCGCAGGCTGGAGCCAGTGGCGTGGTCCCGGAACCAGAGTTAGTCCTCTGGGATTCCGGGTACCGTAGCCCGACTGACCAGTGTCGGGTCAGACAGCATCCCCTAGTCCGTTAGTGGAGGACTCGGCTAGGAAGGCTAGCTAGAGGTGAATTCCCAGATATACGGGTGAGGGGGCCGATACATCCCTCCAGTGCTGTACGACATTGTGTAAATAAATACGTGTGCCTTACTACGGTGTCCACGCGTCTTCAAGAGTACTTCACATGTAAACTGATAACACTATGAACAATAACACTAAACATTAAACGACTGTAAAAATGTTTTTCTAATATATTCCACCATAAACGGAGTTACGGTATGAGAATGTCATTAGAAGCATTTTAATCGCTCATATGTATGTAAAGTATACGTTCAATCGAATCGGGGGACGGATATGCGAACTGTGGGGGTTTGCAGGGTTAGAATCGCATTAAAATTATTCTAGTAACAATATGTTCGTATGCGCATTTTACTGTGCTTGAATATATGTTACGTGCAAATGCGAATCGTTAGTCATAAATGCTATAGGCAGGGTTTAAAATGTGCATGTTTAATCCAGTGTTAACGTTAATCCAGTGTTAGCATTATATTTAAGGACAATATTGTTAATATCAATTCGTCTGGACATGGCACGTGCCTTGTTCGTCTCGATCAACGAAAATTTGTACAATGTCGGTCATAAAGGTGTGCGAGTTCATTCATAAGCAGTGTTCGCTGATCCCCGATGACACAGACCTACACCCAAACAAAGTAGTCTTTATTAATTTAATTATCAGCTCAGACATCATCATCTCAATCATTTCCAAAGACGTGTGGGGTCCCGCGAGAGCAGGGCCTGGCAACAAATATCTGAGCAGCGGAAGCAGCAGAATCAGAAGTAGCTGCGTCGCCCTCGAAATGTGATGTTGCTGCTGCTGCTGCATTTGCTTCTGCGTCGATCAAGATTGACGCTCTTGATCAACTCTGACATTGTAAACTCTCACATGTTAAACTCTAACATAGTGAAATATAATTGTATAACCTATGAACTACAACCTAGCCATTGTTACGCTTTAAAATACGATTAACTGTTATAGTGCAGAACCACATAATTGGAGGCATGGGATTATAATCGCATACTAATCATTAGAATCGCACTGAGCTAATTAGAATCACACTGTGGTTGTACGTATGGTACGTTAATATGGCAACCGGGGGTAGGATATGCAGGATTAGAATCGAATTACAATTATTCGAATCCCACTCGTCGTATTAGAATCACACTTTCCACTGTTGGATGAATGTGTCGTATCAATGGAATCGAATAGCCATATAAGTATATACAGTATACACAAATAAAGAGTATAACAATCACACATTGTAACATAGATACAAGAAACATTATTTAAAAAACGTATTTACAAATATATATTCCACTTTTTTAAAACTCAGAATGTCGTTGTTCATGTGGGGAGATGGAGCGCAGTGGATCGTATCGTCTAAGCTGCTTTTCGGAATCCGTGTGGTAACCCAGTCACATCGCCGAACTCCAGTGACAGCACCTTACCCAAACTACATCTCCCCAACAAGGCAGCCTTACCGCTGCTGTGTATTGTGTTTGTGGGATAACAGGGGTGTGTATTTTCCCATGCGCCTTGCCCAAAACGACTGATTGTCCGCTTAACAGCCTAGCCTGTAAACCACCATTGGTGATAGTATTGTGTGAGAGCAGCTATTAAAGTCGCTGCGGCAAACGAGGTGGTGGCTGGCCAAACCATGCCTCGCTGTTTGTCTCCGGGGTGATGACGGATACAAACCAGACCAAGCGGAGACCATGTACCAGATCGGATTTTGGTTACTGATGTTAGAGTGATTGTATTGCAAGTGTGGTCACTACGCGTCTGTACGTGCTCGCTCCCGAAGCTTGGCGGTTTTTGGCAACGCCACGGGGCTGCATTCACTTTAAATTGAGGACAATGGAGGGCATGGGGAACGTGTTTTTCCATTTATTCAAAATAAGCGCATAATTACACACTGAGATGCACTTACATATTCATGCATGAAGCACAATGGGCACATTACCCTTCGGTATGTTAATAGACATGCGGATTGTGCCTTCATAAATTAACAATCGAATGCAAATATCCTGAAAGACAAAGGATTGGATCCTAGGGGGGGAGTTATAAGGCGGCTCAGAAGCAGAGCTCAATGCCATTTCGAGAGGGAACTTGATGACGCTCGACTCGTCGCTCTGCTGATCGCCCTTCAACCGCGAGACAACGCAGCCTGGCGAGCACAATTGCTGTGTCGACAGTTAGGCGACTTTGCGTCGGGAGAGTTCGTGGCGACATCTTCAGACGGGTTCTAGACATCGATATACCGTGAATCTCCAAGTAAGTGTCTATTTTCGCGGATAAACTCTTAAACGTGTTCGTCGTCAAATTAGCGGGATTTTTTTTCGTCTCGGTTAGACGCGAGTGTCGTTCTTGTTTTAGCAGTTAACAAAATCCAAAACTCAACGCTAAACATCCTTGCGGCCGATAGCGTACTTTTGACTCGATAACACCGCTGCTGTTACTCCGCTCACATGGAGCAGAGACGCTCTCCACAGCCCCACGTACACGGAGGCAAGAAGCCATTCAATTGCTCTGTGTGTGGGAAGACATTTTCACGGCCATCACATCTTCAAGCTCATCAGAAAACACACACTGGCGAGAAGCAATTCCCGTGCTCTGTGTGTGGGGAGGCATTTGCACGGTCATCAACTCTTCAGAGTCACCAGAAAACACACACGGGCGAGAGGCCATTCCTGTGCCCTGTATGTGGGAAGACATTTGCACAGGCATCAACTCTTCAAACTCATCAGAGAACACACACGGGCAAGAAGCCATTCCTTTGCTCTGTGTGTGCAAAGACATATGCACAATCATCAACCATGAACAGGCATCAGAAGATCCACAATGATAGGAAACTGAAATCAAAAGCTGAAATTCAAGGTGCTGCAATGAGTCCTGAAGAAGTTTCCACCTTCGATCCCATGCAGTTGGATCCCAAGAGATGGCTGGATGTAATGGAGTGGCTCGAGAGTCAACCAGAGAGCTCGGGGTGACTGAAAAAATATTATGTCATGTGGTTATACCTATCAAGCCGTATCGAGTACTTTTGTGTGTAATTTTGACTATTTTAGTTTTACAGTTTGTGAGAGTTTAATGACGTGCCCAGTGGTGGTTTGTAATGTTATCGGATTACTTGCCGAAGTGGTGTGATGAGCACCGGTTGTGAGACTGTTCAATTGTAGTCGTTATATGTTCCTGTTGAGCTAAAGTTGGAATGCGTCTGTAGGTACATCTTTACTCGACATTTTAAACGATTTTTGTCAAGTATATAGCTTTTATTGATTGGTATTAATCAACTTTAGATAGCCGATTTCAGGATGTACATTGATGACGCGTTCGTTGGATATATGGCCTTGACTTCAACATAGACGCACAGTGAACAAATGTGGTGAACTAATAAGGAAATCATGGGGAATGATACTTTAACGTTTTGGTATTCCTAGAACGGAAATGGTTTGCATTGTACTGGAAATGTGTGAACATAGGACATAATAAATATTCCCTTCGAGTTTTGACGTAAAAATGATTGCAGATGAATAAAAACGTATTTTTAACAAATGTTTGTCCGTTTATTTATTCATAGCAACAACGTGTTTTAAGCGAGTTTCAGGTGGAGGATCTTCGTCACACAAATCTGCCCTTAACCGGCAGCATCTTGGCTGTCTCCCCACTAACATGTGTTCCTGGAGGGGAGGGGTCCCCATTATTAATCGATTCACAACGTTACGGTCCCTAACCATCAAGTATACAGGGAATCCTGTACGCTATGACATGTGAACTGTAACACTATGAACGATAACACATTAAAATACTATAAACTAGTTTAATCATTTATAACAGCAAAAACAGAGGTACGGTATCATAATCTCATTACAAGCAGTAGAATTTCAACGTGATCGTATTAGAATCACATTCTGCGCATATGAATGTGTAGCGTACGTGCAAGCGAACTGTGCTCGTATGTACGAATGTAATATGCATCTATGGCCTTTGGACATGCGAACCGGTGGTCGAATATGCGAATTGGGGGGTGCAGGATTATGATCGGATTGAAACGATTAGAATATCACTTTGGTAGTATTAGAATTACACTGAGCTAGAATGTATGTTATATGTAGATGCACATCGGGAGTCGTAAATGCGGCCTGGGTGGTGCCAGATTTAGAATCGCATCAAAATTATTAAAATCGCACCATGGTCGTATTAGAATCAAGCTGCCCACTGCTGGTAGAATGTTCCATCTCAATGGCACCGATGTTCGGGTGGTGGCCTCCGATTCGGGATCAGCTCTTCCATTACTCGCCTGGTTGGTTACATTCATGCATATTACATACAGACATGTTACAAACTCACGAGCATAGTGTGATTCTTAGAGGACCACGGTGTGAAGCTAAGAATTCGAATGAGATTTGAATACCACACTTCAATCTACGGTGTTCTAATCTGTAACACTAGTTTATGATGTAATTTTATAGCGTTATAATGTATCGCTCATAGCTTATATTGTTAGAGTTCACGACATTAAAGTTTACTATAACACTAGTTTGTAGTGTTATTTTAAAGCGTTACAATGTATAGCTTATAGTTTAAAGGTTATATTGTTAGAGTTTATAATGTTAGAGTATACAATGTGAGTTTAAAATCTGAGAGTTTGTGAACGTGCCCTGTTGTCGTGGGACCCGACACGGATGTGGAAATAATTGCTATGATCATGTCTGAGCTGAGATGAACGACTAATGTTTACTTTGTTTAATCATAACTGTGTGTAGGTAAGTGCCATCGGTGCTTAGTGAATACTACTCATGAATGAACTCATACTTCTTTCGGATATAAATTGAAATCGTGTTGGTAGAACAAGTCGCCTGTCTTTTCTAGACGAATTGTTATCTTCAAGTGCGTCCGTAAATATACTGCTAAAATACACAGCATAGAGAAGGCTGCCTGGTTCGGGAGATGTAGTTTGGCTAAGGCGCTGTGGCCGTGTGATGACACGGATTCTGAAACAATGGAGTTAAACACTCGCTGCTTGGCCCCGTCGACAGCAGCGAATGCTGTCATATACCGCCCCATTTACGAGTTGGCTGTATAATGTGTATAGTTGAAGGTGCTAGGTGTTGTTTTCTTCTAACAGCTACTAACGTGCGTGTGTTGTCTGTTTTTAGGATTTGTCCATTGATGTTATTTTTAAAGCGGCGTTTTTTGTTGAGTTCTGTCACTTGAGTGTTGCAGTTTGTCTAAGAATTCGTCACGTGAGCGTGGTGTTTTGCTTCTGGGAATTTCTCTTTGTCACAATTTGTGATTGTTATAATAATTGTAACGTTTCATAATCTCATGAGTTTATAATGGGTTTGTGCGTGATTCTTATACGATCACACTGTGATTCTAATGCTTCTAATGATATTATAAAACTTACCTCCATTTATATGGTTATAAATTCAAATACTAGTTAATAATCGTTTAATGTTTAGTGTTATCGTTTATAGTATTACAGTTTACATGTTATAAAGTAGAGTTTATCCCCGACATACTTCGGGATAAGGGACTGGTACGTTGATGAACACGTGTTTAATCGCGTAGACAGCCAAGATTCTGCCAGTTCATGGCACACTTGTGTGACGGAGATCCTCCACCTGAAATTATCTTAACATGTTTTTGCTAGGAACATTATAAAATAAAGACCGGACAAACATTTGTTATAAATACGTTTTAATTCATTTGGAATAATTCTTACGTCAAAACTCGAAGGGAATATTTATTATGTCCTATGTTCACACTTTTCCAGTACAATACCAATCAAAAAAAGCTATATACTTGAAAAACCCGTTTAAAATGTTGAGTAAAGATGTACCTACAGACGCATTCCAACTTTAGCTCAACTACAATTCAACCCTCTCACAGCCAGTGCTCATCACACCACTTCGGCAAGTCATCCGATAATATTACAAACCACCAATGTGCTCGATACGGATTAATAGGTATAACCACATGACATCATATTTTTTCAGTCACCCCGAGCTCTCTGTTTGACTCTCGAGCCACTCCATTACATCCAGCCATCTCTCGGGATCCAACTGCATGGGATCGAAGGTGGAATTATCTTCAGGACTCATTGCAGCACCTTGAATTTCAGCTTTTGATTTCAGTTTCCTATCATTGTGGACCTTCTGATGCCTGTTAAGAGTTGACGATTGTGAAAATGCCTTCCCACACACAGAGCACAGGAATGGCTTCTCGCCCGTGTGTGTTTTCTGGTGACGATGAAGATGTGATGACTTTGCAAATGTCTTCCCACACACATTGCACAGGAATGGCTTCTCGCCCGTGTGTGTTCTCTGATGAGTTTGAAGAGTTGATGAGTGTGCAAATGTCTTCCCACAAAGATAGCACAGGAATGGCTTCTCACCCGTCTGTGTTCTCTGGTGACTCTGAAGATGAGACGACCGTGCAAATGTCTTCCCACACACAGGGCACAGGAATGGCTTCTCACCAGTGTGTGTTCTCTGGTGACTCTGAAGATGTGATGAGTTTCCAAATGTCTTCCCACACACAGAGCACAGGAATGGCTTCTCATCCGTGTGTGTTCTCTGGTGTCTCTGAAGATGTGATGGCCATGAAAAGGACTTCCCACACACAGAGCAATTTAATGGCTTCTTGTCTCCGTGTGCGTGGGGCTGTGAAGAGCGTCTCTGCTCCATGTGAGCGTAGTAACAGTAGCGGTGTTATCGAGTCAAAAGTACGCTATCGGTCGCAAGGATGTTTAGCGTCGAGTTTTGGATTTTGTTAACTGATAAAACAAGAACGACACTCGCGTCTAACCGAGACGCAAAAATATCCCGTAAATTTGACGACGGTCACGTTTAAGAGTTTATCCGCGAAAATAGACACTTACTTGGAGATTCACGGTATATCGATGTCTGGAACCCGTCTGAAGATATCGCCACGAACTCTCCCGACGCAAAGTCGCCTAACTGTCGACACAGCAATTGTGCTCGCCAGGCTGCGTTGTCTCGCGGTTGAAGGGCGATCAGCAGAGCGACGAGTCGAGCGTCCAACCTCATCAAGTTCCCTCTCGAAATGGCATTGAGCTCTGCTTCTGAGCCGCCTTATAACTCCCCCCCCTAGGATCCAATCCTTTGTCTTTCAGGATATTTGCATTCGATTGTTAATTTTGGAAGGTGCAATCCGCATGTCTATTAACATAGCGAAGCGTAATGTGCCCATTGTGCTTCATGCATGAATATGTAAGTGCATCTCAGTGAGTAATTGTGCGCTTTTTTTGAATAAATGGAAAAACACGTTCCCCATGCCCTCCATTGTCCTCGATTTATATTGAATGCAGCCCCGTGGCGTTGCCAAAAAATCGCCGATCTTCGGGAGTGAGCACATACAGACGCGTAGTGACCACACTTGCAATACAATCACTCTAACATCAGTAACCAAAATCCGATCCGGTACATGGTCTCCGCTTGGTCTGGTTTGTATCGGTCATCATTCCGGAGACAAACAGCGAGGCATGGTTCGGCCAGCCACCACCTCATTTGCCAAAGCGACTTTAATAGCTGCTCTCAAACAACACTATCACCTATGGTGGTTTACAGGCTAGGCTGTTAAGTGGACAATCAGTCGTTTTGGTCAAGGCGTATGGGAAAATACACACCTCTGTTATCCCATAAACACAATACACAGCATCGGTAAGGCTGCCTTGTTGGGGAGATGTAGTTTGGGTAAGTTGCTGTCACTGGAGTTGGGCGATGTGACTGGGTTATCACACGGATTCGTAAAAGCA